AATTTATGCAGTAGTTTTGCATACAATTAGTTAATATTTTTAGAGGGATTTTCCATAAAATTAGAGACAATTTAATGTGTTTTAATCCCTTTTATTGTCCTCTCAGGTCTGTTTGAGTGAACAAAAAGTCTAAAATTATCCAAAATGTTTGAGTTTCTGCTTCTCAGTGAAGCTGTTTCCAGCTCCTGAACTCATGTTTCTGCTTTTGTCTGTAATATCTGCTGGAACAGAGCTCATTTAGTGGAAACCAGAGCTGGTTCTGAAGGAAAACAGCAGGAATGTAAAGTTTAGTTTGAGTTATTTTGAGTTCCTTTATTCATTTATCTGATTCCCAAATGAATTTATGGAGATTATTTCATCTTTTTGTGGAAAAACTAACAAGATGTCATTATTTTTGTGGAAAATTTGAGATATTCTGATTTATCTTTATTTGTTTTAGCAATTTATCTGATTTTAAAATGTATTTATCAGATTATTTCAGCTTCTTAAGGAAAAACTGACATCTTTCCATCGTTTTGGTGGAAAATCAGATGTTACTTTAAAAGGGTAGAGTGCCTTCTCCGGGTCAGAGCGAACGTCCTTCCCCAATTGGAGGAGTTCCAGTACCTCGGGGTCTGGTTGGGGTAGGGAGTGTGAGATCGATAGGCGGACCGGGGGGGCGTCTGCAGTAATGCGGGCGCTGTACCGGTCTGCCGTGATGAAGAGAGAGCTGAGCCTAAAGGCAAAGCTCTCAATTTATCGGCCGATCTACGTTCCCACACTCGTCTATGGCCACGAACTTTGGGTAGTGACCGAAAGAACGAAATCGCGGATACAAGCGGCCAAAATTAATTTCCTCCGCAGGGTGGCTGGGCTCTCCCTTAGAGACAGGGTGAGAAGCTCGGCCATCCGGGAGGGGCTCGGAGTAGAGCCGCTGCTCCTCCACGTGGAGAGGAGCCAGTTGAGGTGGCTCGGGCATCTGATCAGGATGCCTCCTGGTCGCCTCCCTGGGGAGGTGTTCCGGGCTCGTCCCACCGGGAGGAGGCCCAGAGGAAGACCCAGGACCCGCTGGAGGGACTATGTGTCCCGGCTGGCCTGGGAACACTTTGGGATCCCCCCGGAGTAGCTGGCAGAAGTGGCCGGGGAGAGGGAAGTCTGGGTTTCCCTGCTTCAGCTGCTGCCCCCGCGACCCGACCCCGGATAAGCGGGGGATAGTGGATGGATGGATGGATGCTCGGCACGGATTGTCCATAACGAACACCATGTTCAAGCATAAGAGTGTCCATATGTGCACCTGGCACTAGGACACTCTAGGCCGCAGCTCAATGATCGACTTCGTTGTCGTTTCGGCTGATCTGCGGCCGCATGTTTTGGACACTCGGGTCAAGAGGGGGGCGGAGCTTTCCACTGACCACTACCTGGTGGTGAGTTGGCTCCGATGGCGGGGGAGGATGCCGGTGAGACCCGGGAAGCCCAAACGCATTGTGAGGGTCTGCTGGGAGCGCCCGGTGGAGGCCCCTGTTAGGCGGAGCTTTAACTCCCACCTCCGGAAGAGCTTCCAGCACGTTCCGGGGGAGGCGGGGGACATTGAATCCGAGTGGGCCGTGTTCCAGGCGGCTTCCCGGAGCTGCGGTCACAGGGCCTGTCGGGGGCAGTAACCCTCAAACCAGCAGTGACAGATGTCTTCAGGCTGAATAAAGAGTCCTATCGGGACTTTTCGGCCTGTGGGACTCCAGAGGCAGCCGATGGGTATCGGCAGTCCAAGCGGCATGCCGAGGAAAAAACCCGGCCGTGGGAGGAGTTTGGGGAGGCCATGGAAAAAGACTTCCGTACGGCTTTGAGGCGATTCTGGTCCACCATCCGGCGTCTCTTTCTGCTTTTAAATTCTCTGTGAAGCACTTTGAATTATCTTGTACACGAAATGTGCTATACAAATAAACTTGCCTTGCCTCAGGGGGGGGAAGCAGTGCTCCACCAACACTGTTTACGGTGGGGGTGGTGTGCTGTTGACCTCAACTCGTGACAACTTCTGCTTCGTTTTCCTTTGCTCTTCTCTCTTCCCTGTCCCTGTCAGGTTTGGCATTATCAGATAAATGTAAAGTTTTGCAACAAAATTAAATAATAGCCTCTATTGGTTTAATGAAATATTGGTTTATTATACTTGTAAACGATAAGGATGCTGAAAACAAAAGAAAGAACATTTTTAAAATTGTAGTCTTAATGTGACACAAGTCTTTTATTAGTCACAGAATAAAACATTACAAGGTAAGAGAAATAGAGACCAATACTTCCTTGTCACTGCAGTTGCCTGACCCTTCACTGACCTGACTAGAGGTCTCAGAGGACAGGCAGGGGGGACGTGAGCACATGAGGTCATAGGACAACCAATCACACATCAGAGCTCTAACAGTCACTGACCACAGCAAACTGCTTCTCATGCTGAAACTAACTAATAACAAGTCAAACCAAACACGGTGCTCGGACTTGTATCACTGGGAATGTATGAGTCCAAACTCTACACTGCATTCATTTGTCTGATGCATTTCTTCTCCACAGTGAGGCAGGGGACTATGTACATTTACACCACCTCAAAAAGGTTTGGTTTTGCATCAAAATGAAAATCCCTTCCGTGTTTTTTTCTGTGTATTTGTGCACATACAGCAGATAGAGATGAGTGATTTAAATCTGCATTCCCACTACAGAAATAAAAAACAAAACATGGCCAGCATAATGACACAGAACTTAAAAAACATTTGCACAATCTCAGAACAGGTTTCATTTATTCAATAGGACAGTGAAGGTGCTCTACTAAGGTGGGGTTGCCTATTTCTTTAATAACTAGCTAATAACTAGCTTTAAAAAGCTGCGTATATTTGGGAATTAGGATTTGCTTTGTCCCAAGACTTATTGTATCACACACTAGGTTAAATCTAAACATCCTGACTTTAGTGAATGAATTCCAGTCATCTTGGGATTGTTATGAAATGTGTGTTAAGAATGGACTTCTTCAGCCCTCCTTGGGTGGGACCCTGGGCTCAGTCAATGAGTTGTGGATGATGCTGCTGATGCTCTCCACTCCTTCTCCTTCAAGAAGCGAGCGATGGTCTCCTTCAATGATGTGAATTGACACTTGGCCATCACAAACCTGAGAAGAAAAAAAACATTTCACATAACCCAACTTATTACACGCTTAATAACTTTTTTTTAAATTAAACTGAGTATAATTTAAAAAACTGAAGTAGATCCAACCAAAGATGAACTCAATGATATAAAGGAGTCCCACATGACCCAGCACCTGTGTATCTCCAGCAGCAGCTGGAAGTTGGATTCATGTTCTGGATGCAGCCATCTGTTTCTCTCATGCTCATGGAGCCATTTTTACCTGATGTTTTTTCCATTGCTGCTTTAGCTCATTTAAGTGACAGCCTTGGTTCCTGCACAGCTCTTTAAGGGTCCACCGCGGCATTCCAGTCAGCCTGGACTTTCTTTTTGCAGCATTCTGTTGTACATTTGCTGCTGCGTTTGTGATCACTGTTCAGCTCAAATCACCAGTCCCTCAACTGAAAATGCTGCCAAAGACCTCCTCCTCACTTCAACAGCCACTCCCTGACCGTTTCCGCCCACTCAGCTCACGCTGCCTCTGCTCTTCCAGCCCCCCCCCACTCGTTCCTCCTTGGAGCATAATGATGCTACAGAGTCTCTCTGTCTTTGTACCCTGGCCCCCAGGAAGCCCTCCAGAGGATGGAGACTGTACTCACAGTGGGTCTGAGGACCTCATCTCTGTACCCCCCCCCCCCCCCCCCCCCCATGTACCCAACCCATTCCATGTGCTCTGGCTGCCCTTCTAACCAGCGGGTGGTGGACCAGAGTTCTGAATGTGGAAGCAGCTGTTACATGTGTGCTTTACGCCCCACAGCAGAGTTGGTCTGGAATTTAATCATTCTGGGTTTGGTCTCAGTTTCAGTTCTGTGAAGGACATCACGGTGTCATTTGTTCATCTGAGGATATCCTGGGCATCAGAATTTTGGGATGCAGAAAAGTTGGTTGACCCTTCATGTCACTTAAAATAATGAGACATGAGCAGCTAAGTAAAAAGTAAGAGAATGCCTGGCGTTTCAGGGATGAGAGTAGTTGTGTGCAGCGGCCTGTGCTTACCTCACTGAGCTTGTAGTCGGGTCCCAGGCTCTGTTCGTACTCACTGCTGGTTTTGGCACGCATTAGCACCACATTTCCGTGGTATTTTAGTGCAGGCACATAGCCATCTGCAGCCTTCAGCTTGTGGTAGAATGTGGAGGCTGCGAAGTTCAGCAAGTCCTGGCTGATGTTCTTGTTGCTTGAGGTGATGAGCTCCACAGCCACACTGACACGAGCCTCCAGGTCTGAGAGAGGGAGGAGAGTTTCCAGCAGCTGCAGAACAAAGAGGGAAGATCAGGGAAGAATGTTATAGAGAGGTTTCTGTTAAAAACCATCATGTGATATCTTCTTCTGCATGAACTCCACAAATGGAAGGTGGCATGTAAGTGTAGCACACTGGCTAAGCAAACCCATGCAGAGGTCCAGAGAAGCCCTGGTACATGCAGCATTTGGACCTGCTCCTCAGCCCACGCTGATGAGGAGGACCATGCGGCTTCCTGTTGAGAGGCTCTTATGTGGTCAAGAACAGGATTTCTTTGTATTGGATGGGTCCCTGATGGGTCTACTGGCCAGTGGCTGGATGTCCATCAAAGCAGAGCTGGGGCCTGTTGTCTCTTCCAGATGTGCTGCTGCAGCTTAACAGTCACTGAGCTCCACTGACTGCTTCTTCTGGACTCGTGTGTGATCCCATAACCACTTCATGAGGAAACAGGCCACATGCTGCCATTGTCAGGGTGTGCTGGTTTCTTGTTGTAGTGGGTATTGCTGGGTTGGTGAGTGTCACTGGAGCTTAGTCTTACTCCTTCCTGCTCTTGCTCCATTTATCTATGCTGCTTTTGTCTTCCCTGTTGTTTGCTAATGTTTTGCCTGAAATCTTCCAGAAGAGGATTCCAGGAGCTTGCATTCTTCATCATCCTCTTCTTGGATCCAACTTCTTTTGGAGATCCTGACCTGGGCTTCCCCCAACCTGCTGAGGATTTCATGCTGCCAAGTATTGGATTGGATTTCTAATCCAAGTTCCTCTGACACTCTGCATCACCACCACTGATGATTACAAGAATTTACACATTTGTAGACCTTTGAAAAACCCCTCTGACTTGGAAATACACATTTCACAATTACACATTTTGCAGATTAAAACTGGGCTCCTCTAACCACTACACCACATTTTCCATAATAAACGCACCATTTCCTTTTGGGATTTCATTTCTGTTTTGGGTTTGTTTCCCTGCAACTGGTCCCAAGGGAGACCAGAAGATAGTGAGCAACCTTGTGCCATATTAGGAGCATGTGTCTGTCCTCACTGATCTCAGGGAGAAGAGCTGCAGCTCAGCTGTGTCCACTCTGACTCAGCAATAGAGATTCTGTGTTGAAGTAATAGGTTTGATAGCTTTTACCAAGCAGCCTTTCAAGTCAAACATCTCTGAACAATGTGACAGATGGAAATAACCGCTGGGCATGTGTGCGTGAGACGTGTACCTTGTTGTATTCGATGCCAGTAAACTGCTGGATGAAGGCGCACAGGGCTTCGGTTTCAGCCTCCGACTCTTTGCCTGGAGTCAGTTTGGACCTGTAGCTCTGCAAAGCACATAGAGTTTACATTAGAATATCATTTCAATCTTCCACAGAGTCCCTCACTGTCAAAGCAAAAAAACATAATAACATCCCAACTCATTTCTGCTGTTCACTGATCAATTAAATCTCTTTAGTTTGTAATCATCTCTCTTTGAAAAGACACATTAAATTAGCTGGTGTGAAGTGGCACAAAGAGCTCCCAAGAGAAGAATACATGAAAGAGTTTGGAGATCGCAGCATTTCATCCACTGTTGTGTGTGCATTGGTTTGGTTCTCTAACCTGAGTATATGCTGCTACATAGGAGTGTGAGCCATCAAACAGATAGAGGTACTCCACGGGCTGATTCAGGGTCTGCAGCTGAATGCACATCTCAAAGGCCACACAAGCCCCAAAAGAATAACCAGCGATCCTATAAGGTCCATCTGGCTGAAGCTGTCTTACACAGCTAATGTAGTAGGCTGCCAGGGACTGGATGCTGTCAAGAGGAGCAGCTGGTGGAGAAAACAGAGAGGGGACCAATCAACATGAGCCAGGGGGGACTGATGTCATCAGATCAATTCTAACAAACACTTGCAATCCAGTTGGGTAACACTTTGTCGATAATCCTTAAGATTTCCTTCAACACACACCTAAATAAAGGGCTGGACACTCAGAACAAATGACAGATTTATATTCCACACAGAGAGGAGGGCCAGTGTGTCAACGCATCACACACTGTGACTCTACTGTTATTCCAAATGCTCTACAGCGCTCCCATTCTTCACACCATCACTACAGAGCCAAGCAGCCATTAAGCAGCTATGTTTGGAGGGAAGGTGCTGATGTACAGCCAGTGCGCCACAGGAATGCCACAGTACAATGAGGAGACACACAATACCTTTGGGAAGAATTCTCTATACTGTATAGACAAAGGGCTCAGACTAGAGAAACAAGCACCCAAACAGGACAACAGGATGGTATCTGAATGCAAAAGTGAGAAGGCTTTTGAAGTGGCGTCTGAAAATCCATGTAGTGGTGTCTTTCCATCTTCCCTTTATGAGCCCAAACAACAAGCCTGGAAAAACAACATACCTTTGGTACACTGTAAGCCGTAGCAAGGCACACTAAGCTTGGAGGCCAGCGTCTTAAAGGCACCAATGGAGCCTTCAATGGGATGGATCAAGAACAGAGGTCGCTCCTGACTCTGAATCTCGTTGAGGGGGGCCACAGTTGGACCACTGGGGTTGACCAGCAACTGTGTCACATCAGTTTCCAGCACGGAGCGGATGTCCTTGTTGTCTGTTGCATGATGACATTCTACAGAGTTGGGAGAGTTGGAATTAACTAAACAAAGCCTATGTCTGGATGAGCAATCCATGAGTCAATAGATATAAAGGCGTATTTTTAACATCTACAACACTCAAATACTCTGTCAGGTCCTTCTAAATTCCCAGGAATACTCAGCTGCTATCAAATATATGGCTGCTTCTGGGCTTTTACTATAATTTTCCAGTATTTGTGAAACTGAAGAATCATTAGCTGAAGGACGGATATGTCAGGTGGAACATACAACTGTATGTCCTGATCTTTTGGCTACATTCTCTCTTATCATGAGCTAGAGGACAATTCTTGTGGTGTAATTAGTTGATAACTTCATATTTTTTTTCTTTTTTTTTTTAAATCAATGAAGCTGAAGTAATCTGGACACCATATTTGACTCCATGCTGGTTAAGACATTTAAATCACCATGGTATGTTTTGTCATTGTCAATAATTCTAATCACGTACTACTACCATTACGGTCATTGCTGTGAATCTCACCTGATCCTTCAGGCTTGGTCTTGGCCAGTTCCTGCAACTTGTTAATGGTGAGCAGGCGGATCTCTCTCATGGGCATGACGATGTCATAGTCCCGCTCTAGAGTCTGACGAACCTCCACACCCATTAAAGAGTCTAGGCCTAAGTCAGCCAATGAGGCGTCAGCATTCAGGCTGGTGACATCACGCACACCTATGGATGAAGGATAAAAAAAAAGTATAAATATTTCATACATACAGTACTAGAATTTTGGAGAAAAAAAGAAAACAGCTACTTTTATTTTAATAAGAAACTACATTTTGTAACTTGGTGAGCAGGTTGAAACAATGCAACCTTAGTGATCTGCAGGAACACTTTTACCATCCATAAAAAAATGCCAACACCCTGTCAAATTTAAATGACATTTCCAAATTATGACAAAACGCCCAAATGTCTGCTGTAAGATGGAAGGACCTGACCCTTTCTGTAACCATGACCAGACACCAGAATGTAAGAAGCTTTTTCAAAATAAAGCCAACAATGACACAACTAAAAAATACACAATAGCAAACTGCAATTACAATTACAAAAAGAACACGGGTCTAATCTGTAATCTCCTCTCTAGGAGCCTGGTCAGGGCAAACCTACTAAGCCAAGCACGTTGACACAATTCAGCTAAGACAAATCAAATATCTGTTTAAAAAGGACAACAATTAATGTTCTAATCTAAACTGTCTCAGACTGCAACTGTCCTTCATCCTGCGTACCAGCGTAGCAGAAAAAAACAAAAAAACAAAAAAAACCTGCTGGTGGTTTTATTTAGAGAAAAAAAACTTCTACTCTTACCCAAAATGTGAGCTACAGCGTCCACCAAATCTCTGTGATTTCCAGTTTCGGTTTTCACTACCGTCTGCTCTGCCAGGACAAAGCTGGACATCACGGGGTGTGGCTGGCACAGGAAGGAGTCCAGCACCTCGAGGCAGGAGGCAATGCGCTGGGGCAAGGTCCCTCCAATGACCGTGTCATTACCACCCATAGTTTCCTGGACCACACCCACATCACCAATGGCTCCCCACTGGATGGCTAATCCAGGAAGGCCGTCGTAGCGACGCTTTTCACACACACGCTCCATTGCTGAGTTGGCATAACCATAGTTACTTTGGCCAGCGTTTCCTCGGCCACAGCTGACTGAGGAAAAGGCCACAAAGTAACTGAGCTCTGGACACATCTTTCTTGTCACTCTGCGAAGGGTAAGGAAATGATTGCATCAACACTGAATTAAGCACAGCCTTTTCTCTGTAAAAGGTGTGAGTGTACAGACAAGAAGTAAGGAACATGTATCTTACTTGTCCAGATTTATGGTGCCATGATATTTAGGTTTGCAAACATCAGAGAACAGGTCTGGCGTCAAATTCTCCAACATGCCATCTTTCAACACCTGACAATGACAATCAGAATCATACCAATGAAGCTTTTGATCAATTCAGAGATGAGAACCCTCAGAGCCTACAACCAGCAACACCAACGGATGTGAGATAACAGTCAAATCAATCAAATCAGTCCCAAGAAGTTCCCACCATTACAAAGAATGAGCATATTACTATAAGTGGGATAAAACATCCTGAACAAGTTGCTGAATATTGACAGATGTAGTTAGAGAGAGACAATACTGAGCTAAACAGAAAATTAAACCCAAAGATTGTCTAACTTTTAATACTAAATGGTTCCTAAGCACACCAGGCAAAGCTAGTCATTTTGGGCTTTATCCTCTAAGCCAGTGTTTCCCCACCCGGTCCTGTATGTCTACCAGCTCCAGCACACCCCGTTCAAATGAAAGTGTCTTCATCAATGTCCCACAGAGCTTAAAGTGATGCAGAGCTGTCCCATTTAGATGAATTAGGTGTGGTAGATCTAGGAAACTTAGAAAGGATGCGGGACAATGGTCCTTGAAGACCAGGGTTGGAACACACTGGTTTTAGAAATGGAGAACAGAACTATTTATTGCTGTGCCTCGACACCAAGGTGACCAGCAAGTGGTGCGATTAAGGGAACCAGGGTTGTGTACTGTTTGGGTGGCTGTGTGTTACCATGGCCAGATGGAAGACACCTCCTACTGGACCCAGCGTACTGGCCTCAGCCATCAGCTGCTGTGTTCCTTTCAGTGTGCCGACGTCCTTCTTTGACACCAACACCGTTACACCTTGATTCTGCCACTCACGCACTCGCTTTGCCTGATAACCTAGAGAGAAAGAAAATAAGTGCTTACAGTTACGTTCTAAAACATTTAAAGTATGATAAAGGATGGCTTCCACACAGAGGGGAACAACTGACAAACTTAATTGAATCATTCTTTATTAATTCAGACAAAAAATTGTTATTAATCATAACAAATCGAACAGAATAAGAACAATCCCAGGATTCTATCAGATCTGTAGCCAAGATGACAGAGTCCCAGCTCTGCTGAGACATGTATTCCTTTAGATCTCAGAGGAGAGAATTTAATGAGTGTCTTCGCCAATAAAAGAGTTTCTATCAGATTTTGATGGCTTCTTTCTAGCCGTTATCATTAAGCTATCAGCAGGTACTGCAGCTCCAGAAGCATCTTTAGAATCGGATTTGTATTGAGACTGTTACTGACCTTTAGACTTCTTAAGGGGGTGTTCATCTTCGCTAACATGACAATATTGGACTTGATCACCTGTCTTTGTTGATAGACCACATACCACAGAGGCTAAAGGTTACTATAACTAAACCTTCACTTCAAAAGCCTGCCACTGGTTCCTCCTCTTTATGATGTACAGAACTTGGCTGGGCCCCATCCTCCAGTCACATGGCTCCTCCTATCGACACCCAGCTCTGTCTGTCCTCTCCTCCGGATCACCTCTGAGTACCAGCGCGAATCTCAGACTGTTTTTCTGACATAATGATGAGAGATCTCCACCTCCAAATGAATCTCTCCAAGACTGAACTGCTCCTCATCCCAGCCAACATGCGACACAGCTCCTAGTACAGGCCTTAGTCCTCCCCTGCCCTCTTCACAGGCCTTCCAGCCTGCGGTGAGGCAGGTGATCCCGTTTGGTCTCCAACCAGCCAAAGAGGGCACATGTCTGTTCTCTGAGCTGCTCTGGCTTCCCTCAGCTGCTCCCTCAGGTCCAGGTCCCTGGTGCTGGCCTACAGAGGGTCTGATGGATCTGCGCCCATCAACACCCTCTAAAGCCTCATGTCACCACTGGCCCACTCTGTTCCTCCAGGGAGCACCCGCTAACACAGCCAGCGCCCCCTACAGGAGACTCTGCTCATCTGTGGTTCCACGCTGGTGGAACCACTTCACCAGACTGGCAGAGCATCAGGCTCTCTTTCCTCCTTCAGAACCCCTTGAAGACCCAGCTCTCCCAGAATTTCTCTGCTCCTAAAACTCTAAAGTCTCTTACTTCCGGTTAACATGTAGCATCAATGGATGCTAGCTGTGGAATCTATGTTCTGAATGTTAAATCTTCTGCTAACATATTGAACTCAAGGTAAGCTAAGTGTGGAACTGGTGTTGGAGCTGAATGTTAAAGCCTCTCTTGTCAGTCTCTTTGGATAAAAGTGTTTGCTAAATGCAGATATGTAATAAATGTAAATGTACTGCAGAGTTTGCTAATTACCACAAATAGCTTTGGATTTGAGGTGATGCTCTATGAAATAAATAAAATAATATAAAGGTTTTTATGTGAGGATGAAAAGGCTGAAGTATCTGGCTGGAAGTGGTAATCTGGATCTACCAGCACAACGTGGCAGTAACAAAGGTTTATTTCCTGAAGGCAATAAAAACCACTATCCCGTCTATCCATATACAAAATAGTTTAGATGTTATCTGAAGCTTTTTAAATCACTGCTATGCTGAGGAAGGTGCATGGCTGATTCTTCTCGTGAATCACACTGGAATGAAAGGTCATGGAGGGATGAACCTCGGTTGATCGGCTGTGCCTGTGTGTGGGTGTGTGTCACCGCAAGTTGTCAAGAACTGAAAAGTGGATCCACAGCACAACTGGTAATATCCTAAAGTAGTTTCACATGAAATGTAGATCATAGGTGGATGAATTTCATCCTCTTTTACTGCTCCCATCCCCTATCTTAATTGAGGATTAAATGATTAATCGTTCTGACTTTTATAATGTATGTATTCAGTCTTACTCCATCCTATAAAGGCATGATCCACCCCTTGTTCATGGGCCCACACAGAGATAAACAACTACGCATGCTCCAAACTGATCCAATGGCCAATTAGATGACTGTGTCTCTGGACCACTGGCAGAACCTTTAGTACCTGTAGAGAACCCACATGCAGTAGCTCATTCCCGGCAGGGGCTGTGCCTCACCATTCCTGATGCCAGATCTAGACGTCAGCACGAGTCTGCGAGCTCCTCTTTCCATCAGCCACTGAGCAAGCTCCAGACCGAAGCCTCCCAGTCCACCAGTGATAACGTAGGAGTGAGAGGCCACGCAGAATGTACGGCAGATGGCTGAGAGACACAAGGGGGAAGCAGGCTGAACAGCCACGCCCATTTCGTCTTCACGGACCTGTGTCAGGATCAGAGGGGTGAGAGGGCACACACCAGAGGAATGATGGGATGTCCAGTCAGAGCCGAGTGAACAGACATGTACATGAGCTGATTCAGTTCAGTGTTGCCTATAAAGCATAATGTCACAGCAAATGTCTCCTCTGGACCAACTAGAATACAGCTAATTGCTAGAAAAACTTAGATGACAATGGAGGGTCTGATAAAAATGAGTCCATGTTCTCTAAACTTAGAGTAGCATCAGATGAAAGTGTACCTGCAGGAGGACTTTGCCGATGTGCCTGCCCTGTGCCATGAATCTGAACGCTTCCTCCACGCTGTCCCTTTGAAACACTGTGGTCTTTAGAGGCTGAACTACACCTCCCAGAATGCCCTCCTGCAGCAGCTGAGAGACCTCTTCCCATTCCTTGTTGCCTTCTTCAAAGAGTGCGTCCAGCAGGATACCATGGAAGGCCACGTTCTTCAGGAACAAAGCCATGCCTGGGGAGGGCGGAGCAGCAGAGGGACAACAGCTCAGCGACTGGCTCACACAGCTGCTGCCCCCCCCACAGGGCAGCCAAAGCCTGCCCGCACCAGCAGAGGCATTTATTTATTAATGAATTTATTTTTTTATCTATTTTTTCCTGGACATGTGAACACAGCCCATTTCAGTACGTTCTCCTGCAAAATGTTGCATGTTTGCATTCTCTGTCTTTTTAGTGATCAACATTGTGCTGAAGATTCTGACTTTCCTCTTCATATTGTTATTCATTGGACATTTTTAACAGAAGTAACTTTTCCTACAAATATCTGCTCTCACAGTACAATATCTCATATCTCCAGAGTCCATGACTATTCAAAGACATTTCACAGCTCAGTTTTTTCTAGTTTAATTCTAGACCTAAATAAATCCCTACCTACTATTTGTGTCTTTTTTGGACTTCCTACAGATTTAAATCACTTAGTCTACAAAATGGTTAACCAGGCACAGACCAATCAACATGGCGGCAGCTGAAACCGACCAGACCTGGTGCTGGTTTGTGCATCAGGCATTTACAACGTTTATGGTCACAGAAATCATTCTATTACACAATCGTTGTTGCCCCCTTTTTAAAAAACAGGCGGGGTTTACCTGCCAAAGTCACTGTAATCATGTGACTCCCTGGCCAATCAGCAGTCTGCCATGGGCCCTCAGCCTGATGGAGCCCTGAATGAGTGGCTGCTGAAGTTAGAACTGATCAGAGGGGCCAGCTCATGGTCCTTTTTGACCTTTAAGGTTCCTGTAAGGGGGTTTTTCCACCAGGGTTCCACAGGCTGAGCAGGCCGACGGCAGACTGCAGGACACCGGCTCGGGGTGGACACGAGTCCATAGAACTCCTTAAAAATGGGTTTGGTTCACATGAAGAAGTCCAATTTCATTGTATGTGTTATCATCAAGGATGTATACCACTCATACACAGTAAGTGAGTGAGTCCCTGTGGAACCCCCCCCATCGGTTTTTTACCAAGTGGAGAGTTGTTGGAGAGATCATATTTTCCAATCTCCAGGAATCGTCCATGTCTAGCAAGGCAGCGGATGCTAGCCTGCAGCTTCTCCTCAGCCAGAGAGTTCAGCACCAGATCCACACCTGAGAACACACACAGTCTCAGGACCCGCGCTGCTCCTCTGACTGCTCAGTGCAAAGGCTTTCTACAGAACTATATTCTGGTAACTAAAAACCAAAACACAATGTTCCCTGAACTGCTGGGTGATGAACCTATTCTGAGTTTCTGTTTAGATGATCAAATGTCTTACCCGAGTTAGCCCCAGAAACAGATAAAGTCATTTTACCAAATGTGTGTCCTGTTTACTGAAATACCAGCCTTGAATTATTATTCCTCAGAATAACGTCTTATATAACCATTTTTTATAGCATTTGAGTTTTTGTCATTTGGCTGCACATCATCTGACAATAAATTTATGTAAAGCTGATAGTTCCAGATATTCAGGAACAATGAAAGCACCCATAGTTCTGCTGAGGGGCTCCCCAGCCACGCTTCATTATTTACAAACTCTGAAGAAAGGCTTTGAACTTCAGTGTATAGAGCACATCTTTTCCTGGACTGGACAGACTGACCTTTGCCTTGTGTATGCAGGAGCACATGCTGCTCAAAAGAAGTGTCCCTGGAATTAGCAAAAGAGTCCTCTGACAGCTGGGGGAACCGCTCCTGCAGATAGGCCCGCTTCTCTGCTGAGCCTGTGGATTACACACACACAGTTTTTCACAATCTCCTGAATTTAGAAATCAGACCGTAACGTGCTGCTAAAATCACCAAAGTGATGTGTGTAGAAAATAAGACATGAAAGCCTGTGAAAGAAAACATCTGAACGAGGACAGAAAACCAGCGTGGTGCTGGCAGACAGGGGATTTTACACTTTAAAAGACAACACACATGTTAACCTGAAACTGCTGAATACAAACCAACTGTGGTGAACACTCTGCACTTCTTGCTGAGAGCTATGGCAATAGCAGCCTGTCCAACTCCCCCAGAGCCAGAGTGGATCAGCAGCGTTTCCCCAGGGGAGAGTCTGCCTCGGACCACCAGAGAGTAGTAGGCGGTGGCGTACACCACGGGCACAGAGGCCGCTTGTTCCAGTGTCCTACACACAACACAACACACACACACACACATATGTTTTGTTACCGACACTTGGACTTGTTATGAGGATTAAAAAGTCTAGCTCTATGATTTCTATGGTTTTATGGGGCTTTCTGTGTTCTAGAGACACCAGCTGAAGGCCAGTTGAAGTCTTATAGACATAAAGAACTTCCTGTTTCTTCCTTCGTCTACGACACACTGAAGCGGTTTCTCTGGACACGAGCACCCCAGAGGAACTCCTCCTTTAGCTACTGTAGACGGCTTTGCTTCGGCCTCCAGTGCTACAGTGAGAGACCCGACAGATGTGAAGCTATAGGCCCAAAGTGCTGGGGGGGTCCCATCATGCACCTCTCCTCCCTCATAATGCTTCATGCATCCTCCAGATCAGGATACTATCTGTTGGTCTCCTTTGGTTGGAAACTCTTTCTGACATCTGTTTATACAGGCTCCGTATAAACTGAACAGTTTTGTGATCCAGCTAACTGTCACTGGACTATGGCTGGATACTGCTGGAGGTGGCTGTTGGTGAAATGATTAAAGTAGCTTGAATTGTCTGTGAATCACACTTGGCGTCTGTATAATCAAAGCAAATCTAACTATGTTCTGGAAACAAACAAACAATAGTCCATCCAGTCCGTCACACTGACCAGCTGGGGGGGACTTTCCAGAGGAAGCGCCTGTCAGCATCCACCACAGTGGCCAGACCTTTAGCTGGCAGGAGCCCCATCACACGCACGCCGGAGGGGTCCCGACCGGAGAACTCCATCCCCAGCAAGCAGTGCTGCAGGGCTTGGTCACCTGGAACAAATGATGCTGTTTAAGGGCACCTGCACCAATCTCAGCATCACAGAAGCTCACAGCAACACTCGTTTCCATCTCTGTGGTGAATCAGTACACGGGGCTAGTCACACTGTTTGTCATGTTCAAGCTACAAACTACAAGTGTGCCTTTTAGTCTGAATGTTGTAAACTGGTTTATGGAACACACTTTTGTTTGAAGTTTATTTACATTTTCCCACCTCTGTGGTTATAAACCAAGGCCAGAAATATAAACATTCTAAATAATGAAAGTGAAAGAGACAGAAAAATGCCCAAAGACAAACCACAAACTGCAAATCAGCTTACTGTGGTTAGAAGTTATGTTTGCAACTGGTCAGATAGCCCAGACCTGCACTCAAATGTGTCCAAGACTGTGTCAATGTGCTCCTCCAAAGCTTTAAATCTATCTTAGGTCTGACAGCCTGATATCTTTGTGACAGAGAAAAGGATGGAAGTAGTTCAGGAATTGAAATGCCTGGGTGTGATCTTGGACTTACAACTAAGTCATAACCAACACATAAAAAGAACAGTCAACAAAATGAACCTTTCCTATTTTAGATGATGTGAGCATTTGAGCAGCTGGGTTGGCCTCTGATGAGTGTCAGTGTCTCACATGGCCTCCTGTGTGACCCGCTGGGCCTCGGAGCCACTAAACATCACTAGGCAGATCAGTTTAGAGAACAGTCTCAACCTGCAGACCAGTCCTGACAGCTCTGGCTTTGCATAGTCCTAAAAGGTCAAACCAGCATTCTCAAACCAATAAGATGACAACGGGAGTCACGTGTTTCCTGTCTGAGCCTCCCACCCTGAACAGAATCCTGTTTCGCTTTGCTGTGGTGTCCGTTCAGAGAACAGGATCATGGACAGAAGAAGCCCTGGAGGCAGCAGCTTCACACACTGTCTGCCTTTGAGTTTGGAGCTTTTTTGCTGACTCAGATTTGCAGAAAGCTGAGTCGAGTGGACGCAGAGCTGCTGGGGAATTTATGCATCTTAAAGTCAGATTAAGGCCTGGACACCCAAATCCAGATTAAAAATGGAGAAGTCAGACTATTGTCCTCAGCTGGTCCCAGACAAAGGGCCGGACACAGATGTATTCAGTAGACTGACAGGCTTCCATCATTTTTTAGCTGGACCACAAATCTAATGACAATATTGAGTTTTACGTGGCCACTACCTGGAATAGCATCTGGGGGCAGTTTGCCAGTGGCCAGCATGATGTCTCTGAAGTTGAGGGAGCTGTAGTAGACCTGACACAACTGCAGGCTGGGGCTGCTGTCAGCAAAGTGGCGGAGTGGAGAAGCAATCCAGCGCAGAGAGGCCAGGTCACCTCGAGTCAACACATTGACATATGCAGCCTCCGTCATCTCCTCCTTCAGGTCTGACAACACAAAACACACACACAGAAACACATCAGACCTCCTGGAGGAGTGATTTACAGGAAGCTCTTTCAATTATTTTGAGCCTATAAAACAGAACTTCAAAGAAACCCGAGTCATTTAAACATGTGTGTTCACAACCTCATTTTTGTTTGTTGAAATGCCCTAAAATGCAACTTCTATCAGTATTCATCAAAATAGAAGAACATTTACTTAACAGACCAATAAGAGGTCTCATTGTCTTCCCTGAGCTTCAGATTCAGAAGCAGCATCCTACTTGGTAAAAGCTGTTCTGATTCACATTGAGACAGAAAAGGGCACAGAATCTCCAGTAACAGGTCCCAGGACTTCCTCCAGTCAGCAGACTGCCTGCTGACAGCTAAAGGAATCAGGATTGGGTAATAAAGCAGCATCCACGTGGGCTCAGGAGGAGCTTGGAGAACCATTTTCATCCAGGTAGTCCACAGCTCATCCAGAAATGGGACCTGAAGCTGTGCCACACAGGGAGCAGACAGACAGGGGCAGATGTTCTGTGGTCAGACGGGTCCATGTTTCAGCTGCTCTGGGGGAAAAGGCTCAGCAGTCAGCCTCTGGTGTAGCTGGCTGCCTGTAGATGGCTTCATGTGTGCAGGTCCACAGATGCAGAGGGATGTTGGAGCTCTGCAGACACATGCTACCACCGAGGTGACACCGTATTCTGCAGGAGGAGGCTGGAGCTCACGCTGCAGCACAGTGTGTCTCTACTCTGCTGCACTCCACATTTGTCTCTTAGTGAAAATGTGCAGAGCATTTAGAAGAGGAAAATCAGACAGGAATAGACCACTGAGCAGTTCAGATTTCAGATTCAGCAAGTAATGACACAGAGCTCTGCTCATAGCAGTGTGTCCCAAGATGGCACCTCATTACAGGCTGACACTTTCTTAATAAAGGCAGAAGGTTTGGGGTGCTGGTTAGCTTAACTGGAAAAGGGCACAGAATCTCCAAGTGAGGTGAGGTTCTCTAACATGACTGTCAGCTTTGCTGCTGTATGATGCTGCTGGACAGCCAGAGAAGGGCAACGGGGTCCTGACAGAAACATGAAGGATTCCCTCTGCTCTGCACAACAGGAGCAGAACCACAACAATCTGGATCATCTGCTACCATGAGAGATGAGCTGGTGTCTGAAGGCGCCCCACCGCCCGTCCCTGAAGACATTCATGACCAGGTCGCCCTCCAGCACCGCCTGGATGGAGCCATGGCCCGGCTGCAGGCTCGGGGCCTCAGACGTCTCATTCAGATTGGACACAAACATGCAGCTGGGGACACAGAAAGAGAAACAACAACACAAAGTGTGAACTGCATGAAAAAGAGGGAAAAGCACAGGCATTTCAACCCCTGCTGTTCATGCTGGCTGACACACACCACAAATCCTGGTGTAGTCCTGAATAGTTTGTTTAATAGAGGCAGAGGCCAAGTGAGTGTTTTTAGGAATCTGAGTTATTCTGTTTAATTAGAAGTCAAAACATCTGGACGTTGTCCTACGAGAAAAGAAATGGCTTTACCGTATCCGGTCGCCCCCGGTCTCCTGCCGGAGACAGTTGACCATTCCCACGATGCCAGAGGACGGCTGGGAGGCGGTCAGCCACACGGGACGGTCTGAAGACTCGGCCATGGTCACCTGCTCCACCCCCCCACAGAATCAGGTCAGTATCAGTTGAACCACATCAGTCATTCAGCAGAGAGGAAACTTCACTGTGTGCACATCAGTCATTATAGGTGGATTCTTTTTCTAAAGATAATAGCACATGAATGCTTGAAGTTTGTGTTGAAGGCTGAAGGAGAGGTAAAACTTCTCATACATACAGAGGAAGTTATTCAGCATCCGTTCACATCACAAAGAATGATGTCACACATGATGGCTGTGAGGTGTCTGAGTAGAGCTGGTGCTTCCTCAATAACAGTTACTGGACTTTTGGGGGGGGGGGGTTATTTTAGAAAATTTCTCTTTAGCACCAAGTTGATACTTTCCGTTTTTCCTTTTTTTTTTAAAATTGGGACTATGTTATGTGTTAAAAGAGTTTCTCTCGGGGCAGAAACGGTCGGCGAGTAACTGATGTGTTCATGTACAGTGGGACTGAGCAAAGGATAAGCCAGTCCACTATAGATATATGTGTGTGTTTGAATCCATTTTGTGGACCTGTTTGGTCTCAAAGGTTCAACAGACTTCACCACTTGGCTGATCTCCAACATACAGCTATCCACATGCTCCACTCTCTAAATCCCATCTTAGACAGGAGTCCTTGCTGCCACTCATTTCAGTGCAGTCCGTTTGGATTCTTGTCCTTGTTTAACCCAAAGTTCCCCTCAACAGGCTTAGTCGCTCTAATTGCTGACTCTCCAGGAGCTGTCAAACACATTTCCATGGGTAAATTGGCAGCAGGACCTGAGGGATCCATCCCTCCTTCTGAGCTGAAGTAGAATGATTTTACAGAACTCAGATGAAGGCCTCACATGGCGGGAGGGCTTTCATACCGCCATGTGCAGCTGGGGCAGATTACAAACTGAGCAATAGCATCTCCTTTCTTTTTTTACGTCACTAGGTGGCGCTGTGGTGTGGTGGTCACCAGCAACAGCGAGAAATGTTTTTTTCAATCATTTATGTTTTCAACCAATAACCCACCTTGAGAGTGTCCACCCACTTCCAATCAGTGTTGTCCACTGATAAATAGAGTGGCTGTTTGACCAGAGACTGTCGGCGACAGAGAAAGAGGGCAGAGCCACAAAAAGATTTCCTGACAGCCACCAGAGTCAGCGAGGCCTCACAGAAGACTTTCTCCCACTCAGCCTGTTGAGGAAAACAAAAACTATCAGGGAAACAGCCCTGGCTGAAAAAGAACAATGCCTCAGGTAAAGAAAACATTTTCCACCCTGACTGATTTAATAAGAGGAAGTAGCAGAAGGAATACTGTTGAAAATAGATCTGCTCTGTAAAATCACGCGTTTAAAAGCATCCATCAGTGGAAGTTGTGCTCTGAGCGCTGTACTCTGACCTGTGTGAGCAGCCTGCCCCGGCTGCTGCTCTGAGCAGGGCTGCTGAGGAAGGCAACGGTCTCCCCCAGAGTCTCCCCCCTCAGCAAAGTGTGGAGCAGGACAAACCCCTGTGGTTTGGCGGCAGATGCTAAGTTTGTCATCAGCAGCCCCGGCTCTGCTCTGAGAGGACCCCACGCATGGTTACACACAACCAGGTCTGCCGGGGCCAGGCCTGCTGAGGCCGGGTGGACCCGAGGATCCCACTGACAGGACGCCACCGACAGCTCCTGCAGGGCAGCCTCGTGAGGCGCCAGGAGATCTAGGCTGGACGCTGAGGCCGTATAGTCCACATGCATCATGGGCTGGATGTTGAGGAGGGGGACCACACGAGAAAAGAGCTGCCCATCACTGGAAAGAGCCTGGCACAGGTTGGGGTAGGGCAGAGGTTAGAGGGTTCATACACTAGAGCATCAACTCCATCATGCTGAATCCAGATGAAACGCATCACCTCCAAGACTCTGATCTTGCCAGGCGGGCAGTTTTCGGTGGTGAGGTCCAGACAGTGTCTGAGGGCCGGATCCTCCAGCAGCCCGTGCAGCAGACCGTCTTTCAGCAGACAGGACTGCTCCCTCTCTACAACCTGCTGCAGCTCAGAGTGAAGGTTTCCATTCAGCTCCAAGCCACAGAGCAGCGTCAGCAGACGCACCAGGCTGGGCTCAGACGTCTCCGGGCTGGGAAGAGGATCCTCCTCCTTCCTCTGTACTCCCGGGATGGAGAGCTGCACACCGTGAGGAGCCAGCTTCAGCTGCAGTCTGCCGATTAAATCTGAGCAGAGGAGTGGAGACAGAAAATTACTAAATGAAAAAATACACACAAATGACAGAGGACAACTTCAAAGCAACATAAATGTTGAGATTTACTAGAATCCACCTGGTTTTACGTATATAAATGTGATATTCACACAACCATCTCCTGTGCTTTTGTATATAGATGAAAGTTGAGACAACCTGCATTACTTCAACTTCTACCGTTGGACTGGAAACTACAATGTATGGATTTTTGTTCTGACTGCTGGCTACCAGAGAAGATTGAGCAGCGTCTCACATCCAAGACCAGAGCTAATGTCAGCTCCAAGTGTTATGCTCAGTTATTTGAAAGTGAAGGTATTTTCTGTTTTATTGCTCTCTGTGTGGCTCCACTCTGCTCTGCTCTTCATTTGTGACACATTTTTGTCTAAAAGTGACCTTAAAGAAATCCTCTACTCTGTGCAGTGAGTTGCAGCCACAGACGCTAACTGGAGCTGCAGCTTCTGCTGCTGAGCCACACTCAGTCACAGCCAGGCTCATCTGTACCTTTGCAGAGTCTCAGCTGCTCCGACAGCTTCCGGTTGGTTGAAAGACATTCAGTGTCCATAAAGGGTACAAACACAAACTTCTCTAGAGTCGGGGAGGTCTGCTGCTGCTGCCTTCGGGGAGCCACAGTGGCATGCAGACCACAGATTTGAACTCCACCAGCAACAATGTTGTCAAGGCACCGGTTGACAGAGACAGGTACAGCTATGGGAGTGGAACAGAAAAGTTCTGATCAAGGTTTGAATGTACGAGAAAAAAAGTAACTTAAAAAAAAACTGAGGAGAAACTCATAGTGTTCAGGCAGTGTAGTCTTGTCATCTTTTCTCATTATTTTTAATTAAAAACATCAGGGGCTAACCAAAGCGTATATATGAAAACACATACACCCTCACGAAGTGGAGAGAAAAGATAGGCAAGTTTAAACCAGTTCTTCTTTTGATCATCATGCAAAATGAAGATAAGTAAGCTACACTTTGAGCCTTTTCAAAGAAAATATTTTAGAAAAAAAAAACAACATACCTTGCACTCCATCACTGTGTCCGCTAACATTTTGAAGATGAGCTGCTGGATCTATGCTCACTAGGCGGATTCTGGTTGGCAAACGCAGACTACGACCTGGCAGTCCAATCACTAGCATCTGGAGCATTGTGTCCAAAAAGGTCACCCAGTTTCCAGTCCAATGCAGCTTCCCACGGTCTCCTACAAGCATAATGTCCCAATAACAACCAAAAAACAGACAGTACAGAAGGCAACCTCTACAAATCCCCATGCAGCAAGAAGCCCATGTCACGTACCTCCATTACTGCACTCCAGAATGCCTTGGAAGGTCTTCCCATAGTCGTAACCACGCAGCCGCAGCTCTTTGTAGACTTCAGCTGCCTTCAGCGGCATGCTGGAGTCACTGTCACCCGCAGATTTTTGGCTTATCTGCTTATGAAAGGAATCAAGGGCTGCGTCCTCTAAAAGGCTCATCTTACCTGAAGCCACATACAGAAGAAGACTTAGCAGAGTTACAGGAACACACACAAACACGCACATTAATGTCAAAAGGCCCAACACAGTTTTAACTTCCAGAAACTGTTCCTTTACTCACCACTGACAGTCAAGTTCCCATTCTCTGAAACTTCAAACCTATTGGTTGCTGGCATTAGATTGACCTCCAACTGAACCGATCCTGGTAAAACCGCAAATATAAGGACAGTTAACAAAGACAAAAAACCAGAACCAAATCTGAAATCTGGTTCCAGTAGCTATACACTTCTCCAAAGACAAACCCTGTTGGCATCCCTCACCATTCTTTGGAAGAATGGTAGCCCTATGTATAGTCACATCTTCAAAGGTAATAGGAGTTGCATCCATCACAAGCCCACGGCTTCTGACCAAGGTGCGCCAGGCCAGCATCAGGTAGCCCGTTGCTGGGTAGAGAACACGCCCATCTATGCAGTGCCCCATCAGGTAGTGGTCTGCGGACTCTGGATTCGTCTCTATCATTGGACAAATAAAGAAACAACATTCACACCAAATGTTTAAATCAACTGAAAGCAGTTTAATACACAAGACAAAGACTAAGAACTAGTTTTTAGTTTTACCAATGTTATAGACAGTAGCAGAACTGGATCCTCCTGAGCCGTGGCAAAAGTCTTCGGCTTTGGGAATGTCCCAGGTTTGGGAATGGTCCCACAGCACTAAGGGGGAGATCATTGGGGTTCCAGCTGACACAGGGTAGCTCACTGCTGGGCAGAGGCTGTTACAGTCCAAGGTGATGCTGGAAGGGGGCAGTAAAAAATTCAGAGCTTTGTGGGGAAGCAGAAACAGAGGATAGGAGGAGTCCACAGACTGAGCCCTTTAGGCCCAGCTCAGGATATGTACTCACCCATTCATGTACATTTTCCCAATGTTTGAGAGGAAGAACTCCAGGTTGTTGGTGTGGCCTCTCTTCATCAAAGGGAGGATTGAACATGTGTGCTTCAGGCTTCTTTTCAGGATGGCCTAAGTGAGAAATAGAAAATATGAATGGTATGACCTGGACCCTGTTAAACTATGCCACTTCTTACAAAAAGTCTCAGGGAACCACCAGGCCATGGAAAATCTGATGAATACCATCATTCTGAGTTTACACAGGCAGGATGCTAAGCTCTGTCTCAGGATTTGAATTTGAACCAAATGGAACAGAGGGTGCATTGAAAAGCTGGAGCGCTGCACATTAGCATGCGGGGCACACCTGCAGCAGAGCGTGAGGCGCGATCTCCACCACCACCGCGTTTTCAGGCACCAGGCTGAGGGCTTCCTGGAACAGCACGGGGCTCAGCAGGTTGTTCACGTGGTAGTCTGCAGAGCTGTAAAGGGCCAGAGGAGCGCCCCACTCAGACTGGGGGATGCTGGTGCTCACCCAGCGGGGCGAGCGCAGCCGGGGCTCCTTTATCACCTACACAGCACACAGCACAGCATGAGCAGAGTAGGAGACATGCACATGCTGACACAGCAGCAGGACTCAGCCCTGACAGGCATGTGACCACCAGGACTAAGAGCAGCAGAAAACCACAAAGACTGGGAGGTTCATATACACTGAAGGAAAGGGATTACAATAGATCCTAAAAATCTTCTACTCCGTCACTTGGCTGATGCTCTAATCTGGAAGGAGACGTCCACATGCACACTTCAGCACAGCAATAAACTATTACATGGAATTACACAAACAAGCTAAACCAGAACAGCCTCAGTGTTGCATTGTGCTGAGTGACAAATGCTTTGGACCTTCTTCAGAGCCGTCAGCAGGGTTGGACCAATGGAAGCCATGTAGTAGGAGTGAAAAGCCACTCCGGCGCTGCGCACCTCCTTTGCAAACACTCCCTGTTCTTTCAGCTTCAGCACAAACGCACTGATGGCTTCCTGAAGAAACACACACACACACACACACACACACACACACACACACACATACCACATTAGGACACATCACTGTGTGCTTGCATAAGCCTCCATTGCTCTGAAGCATTACGTAATCTTATGTAGAATTACTTTCCTCCTGACAAAGCCCACATTCCCCTATGATTCTGCTGTAAAACTGTCTTTATGCACCGCTATGAACACAAGCTTAGTCTAGAGGGAATAGCTGAGACTTCCTCTCTGAGATACTACTAAGACACTATGTTGTGTGAGCAGGTACAATGAATATGAAATTAACACAGCTTACTGGTAACAACTTCTACAAGACGAATCCAGAGCAAAACACAAATCTAACTGTACACAACTAACACAAGAAGCTGAAATTCCGCAGCTGTTTGGCAGGTTGAGTTCTTAAAGCTGGACTATCGATAAAGAGCTAAATGTCTAACCTGAGGACCAGAGACAGTCACAGTGTCCTCAGCGTTGTGGCAGGCTGGGACCACTCCTTGGGGACACTGAGCAATACACTCTTTCCAGGTCAACCCTGGAAAACAGACGGGAAGAATGAGTGGAAGATGTGGACAATCAAAGAAAATGAAATACAGCTACATTTCATTTTACTGACATTATGCCTGAAAATTTCCTCCCCAATGGTCTCAGATGCTTTAAATATAGTTAAATATGATCCAAATCAGCGTTCACATTTCTTGGGGTATAAGCAGATGTTACGTGGACTGTGTGGTTTATCACATAAAAGCGTTTAAATTTATGTTTAATCCATACATAGCATTTTCAAAGGAAGGGGACAACAAGAGCACACACCTCCACCAAGAGTATAACCAATCAAAAAACCAGTAAGATTAATACTTGGACGTCACATTGATTCCTCCACTAGATGGATGTGATCACCACTACCAACAGATGTATACGGCCAAAGTTAGTTAGCTTTGATAGCTCAAAACACTGCTGCAGTAGAATATCATTTCTGTTTGGTGGTTAATCCCTTTTTTCAAACCCCTGGGTAGCAGGTATGGTACACAAGCAACATTCAAGGAGACTCGAGGTTCTCAGTACAAGAAAGCAAACTCCAAATTTCGTTCATCTGAGGGGAAAGAAGGAATGCTTCCAGCCGTACCAACGGCAGCCATGCCCCCAGGAGGAAGCTTGGCCTCTTTAATGCAATGCCCTCTCCAGTAGGCAGCCAGGATGGCCTCACTGTGGCTGAGGGAGCCATCGGCATATCCACAGGCCAGCTCTCCCACCGAGTGCCCCACGATGCCATCAGGCTGCAGGCCCAGCTTCGTGAGCAAGTCAATGAGAGCTATCTGTAAAACAGAGACATGGAACAATACAGCCATGAGGATGTTTTGTTCACACAAGACCTCATCTCCTCTCTAGGAAGAGGTCAGTATGTTCAGGCAGGCTTGACTCTGCTCTTGAATCGAACCCGCCGTCTTCCAGTGAGCAGGGTTTGAGACAGCTTGTGTTCTAATGTGGTGGGTTAAACATAAGCCACATTTAAAAAATGGACTATTAGTTACTGTTAAGCAGGAACACCAAAAAATTATCTAATAAAAACATTTTAGTTTTAACTGAAATTTGAATGCTTACCTGTTGAGAATGCCAACTTGCTAACTATAGAGTGACTGAACTATTGGGGTTCATCCATCACACTAACCCACAGGCACTGGGGCCAGTCAAAAATACAACAGCTACCAACAGTAGCAGCTAGCTAACGGAACATTACACTGCACGAGTAGGGCCCTGAAACCTCCCCGTGCTCACACATTGTGTATACTGTTCTGTTATTCATTAAAGGTGCAGCGAACTGGACAACGCTACACTGACCTTACCCACGTAACAAACTGTTTGTTGTCCTGCATTACATTTTTTATGCTTCTTCAGTTAAAATTGGACTCATCAGGCAGATCTTTACCCCTCAGTACCCAACAAGTCAAATGCTAACTGATCCAAACATGACGTTTATCCAGCCTCTACCTGTATGGCTGCCAGGCCGACAAAGGCATGCACGGTGTCCTCAAACGTGGACTCATCAGCCTCCATGAGCAGGCGTGACACCTGGAGACCCGTGTCCTTCAGAGCTGCATCCGACCGCAACATGGACTCTCTGAAGTCTGGCAGCTGCATGAGAGTCCGGCCCATACCCCCCCACTGCGTTCCCATGCCTGTGGACACAACAAAATGCTCTTCAGAAACTGAAAAAATACCTGGATTCTTTTAATATCTTTAACACTTGATTATACCAATTTAGAGTATTTCCAGTGTTACAGATTCTAAATAAACAGTAAATAAACATAAGTTATACTTTTTCCGGTAGTGAAAAGATTAACAAAAGACCAGAAAAAGGATGACTGGATCTGACTGTAGCACGCTCATGTGGATTAACCTGGAGGAATGGGGAGGGATGAAACTACTAAGGTCCAGATATGAACCCCCCATCTAAGAAACACCAAATGTCTGGCTCCCTCCTTTTTAGAGAACCCAGGGCCGTCTTTAGACACAATCTCAGCCTCACTCATTTAAAGTTCTCACAGACATCTCAAACATGATTTTGATATAATTTCTCTCAGACGGGAGCCTGCTTGTGCTGTAGCGGCTCCTAAACTGTGGAGCGGTCAGACCCACATCAGCAGGCGTCTCCGTCTGTTCTGACACCAAACAGCACTTTGGTTCACCGGGGTTGATTTAAAGTGCTTTAAAAATATAGTTGGAACGGATCTGTCCCGGTGATTCCTCTTTTGACTCCGTATATGGAGCAGTAGGGAGGCTGATGACCTAAATTTATCTTAAGAAAATTGTCTGAATGAAAATCAAGCCATCTTTGTATCTTCATTAAAAATCAGTCAACAATCTAATTTCCAAACAGAATAGACACGATTAGAAGACACTCTTCCCCATCACACAGTCCTGTGGAAGCCTGTGGGATGTGGACGTGGGCTTTTTAATGTGTACGTTTCAATGGTAAAGAGCTTCCTGACAAGTACATACTGGTGATGTGGCACCCATTAAAAGAGTTGTGCGTCTCTTTGGGTAGGAGGAACCCCCCTGTGTCCTACCGACCTGTGAAGGACAACCCACCTGAGCAGATGTACCACAGCGGCCTGCTGGCAGCCGGGACCTGCTGCACCTCCATGGCCTCACTCTGGGAGCCCAGCACAGCATAGCCCCTGTAGGGCATGCTGGCAGGGGGAGCGCTAGACACCGAGTTCAGCAGGGACAGGAAGCCGCTGTCCGCGCTGTGCTCTTTCCCCTTGTGGAGGATGACAGTCACCGCATCCTCTGTGCGGCCACAGGCTTGAAGCACTCTTGGGACCTTCATGGGCACATTGGAGCCTTTTCGGTCCTCAGCAGGACGCAGGATGACATGAACATTGGAACCTCCAAAGCCAAACGAGTTGATCCCCACGATGCCTCCTCGGACAGGGATGGGCCTGTCAACGACTTGAATGCGGCCATCAGTCAGGGCGGGAATGTCAGGATTAGGAGTGCTGAAGTGCAGATTGGGAGCCCAGACTCCTCGTTCCATAGAAAGTAACACCTGAATAACAGATCCATGAAATACTGTCACATTATAGTCAGGATCTATGTGGTACAGGTCTCCATCAACCAGCATTAGCATCCTGCTAACACAGGATGGCCGTCTTTCCTGAATGTTTTACAGAAACATGTGGAAACATTGATCCTGTCTGCCCTTTGTGTTCGACGCTGCAGAAGGCTTTTGTCCTGCTGCAGATTCAGACGTTCTCATTAATGTGTCCTGCAGTCCCTTTAGAACCTGAACTTACAGAATGCACCTCATGAGCCATGACTGACCTGAAGGAAGCAAAAGGCCATCCTTTTCTTGTTTTGTATTTGGAGCCAGCTCTAGGTGTAGTGCTCCACTCACCTTTGCCAGGGCAGCGAGCCCAGAGGCTGGTTCTGGGTGGCCCATGTTGGACTTGGTGGATCCCATCAACAAGGGCTCTCGTTTTGACTGACAAAACACACCAACTATGCCATTCACCTCTTGTGGGTCCCCAACCTGTTTGTAGAAAGTGTTTTTGAGGAGGTAAAACACAGTAAGTTGAGTCTTTTATTTCAGAAATCATCTAAAATATAAAGCACGATTTCATACTGTAGTCATTGGTTTTCAGGTCAATGAGGCAAAGATGAGCAGTAAAATGACTGAGTGGATGATTGAGGGCACTGACCTTGGTTCCAGTACCATGCGCTTCAATGTACTCCACCTGATCCGGGCTTATATTTGCATTTTGATACAGAGATTGAACTAGCCTCTGCTGCATCTCTCCTGAGGGAAATGTTACACCTGCAACAAAGAGGGAGGTGTGATAAGTGGGCTGATGATGGGATGCCAAATATCCCTCATACAGGGCCATCCACCCATTTTCAGTCAAGCAGTTTCAGTCTCTGCAGCTTGTTGGAAAGTTCCCCTCCTGTAGTGGCCTTTGGGTTTTTAAAAAGGGCCAAGCCCCCTGCACAAGTCCCACAGTTAAAGCAGCTGCTCCTCTGGGCTGTCAAAATGAGCACTGACCAGCAGAAAATAAAGCTTTGAGGAAAGTCAGATCCGCCTCAGCCGGCTGGTTCACAACAGAAAAATCAAAAGTGGCTTCAGCATGGTTTACTTTGGGGTTCAAACTTGACTAGGTCGTAACAGGAAGCTGCCCAGTATGAGCAGATGTTATAGCAGATGTTATAGCAGCTGGTATAGCAGATGTTATACCAGCTGGGGGCGGCACGGTGGTGGGGTGGTTAGCACTGTCGCCTCCCAGCAAGAGGGTTCTGGGTTCGAATCCCGGGGGAACCAGGACCTTTCTGGGTGGAGTTTGCATGTTCTCCCTGTGTCTGTGGGTTCTCTCCGGGTTCTCCGGCTTCCTCCCAAAGTCCAAAAACCTGCATGTTAGGCTGATTGGAGATTGGGGAAATTGCCCTTAGGAGTGAATGTGAGTGTGAGTGGTTGTTTGTCCTTGTATGTCCTGTGTGTGGCCCTGTGATGGACTGGCGGACTGTCCAGGGTGTACCCTGCCTCTCGCCCGTTGACCACTGGGATAGGCTCCAGTTCCCCCCGCGACCCCATGAGGGAATAAGCGGTATTGATAATGGATGGATGGATATACCAGCTGGTATAGCAGCTGGTATAGCAGCAGCTGGTATAGCAGCTGGTTTAGCAGCTGGTATAGCAGCTGGTTTAGCAGCAGCTGGTGTAGCAGCTGGTATAGCAGCTGGTATAGCAGCTGGTTTAGCAGCAGCTGGTGTAGCAGCAGCTGGTGTAGCAGCAGCTGGTGTAGCAGCTGGTATAGCAGCTGGTTTAGCAGCAGCTGGCGTAGCAGCAGCTGGTATAGCAGCAGCTGGTATAGCAGCTGGTTTAGCAGCTGGTTTAGCAGCTGGTTTAGCAGCAGCTGGTGTAGCAGCAGCTGGTATAGCAGCAGCTGGTATAGCAGCTGGTATAGCAGCAGCTGGTATAGCAGCTGGTATAGCAGCTGGTATAGCAGCAGCTGGTATAGCAGCTGGTATAGCAGCAG